ATATGTTTACAAATTTGTACCTAGTTTGGAAAAAGCTACAGAAGACAGTATTTTACACACAAGGAATGTCAGAAATTAGAGGGAGTCTGGGAGTCATAATCCATCTTCCCTCACAGCACAGATGTAAATGTAACCATACTCACATACAATTTCCGTATAAGATCACTTCTTTTTTCCATAAAGAAAAAAGTTGGCCCAGCAATATCTATCTATCTATCTATCTATCTATCTATCTATCTATCTATCTATCTATCCATCCATCCATTTTAATGTTCACAATAGTTGAAGATTCAGTTGGTTTAAAATTAAAATGTAGTCATTTTTTTATAATCCCTGTCAAAAACAACAGTGTTCTATTTATTGGAAAAATGTATGTTTAAATAACAAGAGTAAACTAGTATTTACAAATATGCCAAGTGCTCAGATTTTTCTAGTGACCTGGATCATTCACACAAAGTTTGCCTCTGCCTAAAAACAAAGTGGCTTTTTCTCAGCTCATTTACTTGCTAGTTCTGGGAAAAGCCCAAAAAGAAACCTTTAGAGTAGAGGGGTCTTTGAGAAGATGTGACAGTTGACTGATGAGCATCTATAAAATGACAAAGCATTGCTCTGTGCAGGCTGTGCATCACATTGCCTCACCCTGGGAAAACTAATTGCTTTGAATTGTTAATAGTAACATTATTTTTCTGGCAATCATTTCTTTTCAATACTCAAAATGAGCATGAAACAGCTCCTTTGACTGAACATAAAAGTTAAATGTCCCAATGTTGATCAAATTAACTTCAGCTATGTGACAATGGACTATATTTGTGAGAAAATAATGGGGATCACAAAAAGGGGCTTTATGCCAAGATTTCACAGTTGTAATGTAAAAAAAATGTTTCTGTTCAACTAGGCCAAACTATGTTTTGAAGAGGCAACAGAAGACCTATGTCAGGTTTGAGGGAATGGGAGTTAAGGAGAATATCGGGATAAATTTTGATTTTAGAACTGGCATGTTAAGCGCAGCTATCTGTAATTACTCCTCTTCCATACTATTACTGTAATTTTCATTGAAGACCTGTTTATTCAATTCTTTGTTAAACATTTCTTGTGTTTTGCTCCTCTCTATGAATATGATATGCTTAGTAAGCAGTATCTATGCAACTTTAGTTAGAGAATATTTGTTCTATTTCAAAAGGCACAAGATTTATCAATTAAATATTTATTAGGAACATTAAATATGAGGTTTGTAACACAAATGATTTTCATAGGAAACTACTGGCCTCGAAGCAATTCTTGTTATAAGTTACTACAGTGACTCTAAATATGACAAAAGTTCATAAGGTTACTCTTAAAAAATCTGCATGCCATTAATGAACAGCTAAGAAAACAATTTCAAACAACATTAATGAAATGAACATTTAATTAATGAAAATCAAAGCATGCTATAGATTTGGTTTATTTATTTATTTATTATTTATTTATTAATTTGATTTGTATACCGCCCTTCTCCCAGAAGGGACTCAGGGCAGTGAACAGCCAAAATTAAAAAACATACAAATACAAAAGTTAAGATAATCAAAAAGAATTAAATCATTAGCTTCCCAATTTAAAACCCCCAAGTCCATAAAATTTAAAATCCCAATTAAGAACCATTTAGGCTAGGCCGGCTTGGTGGAATAAATAAGTCTGCAGGGCTTTACGGAAGGTCCGGAGGTCCGGGATCAGTTGTATTCCAGGAGGCAGCTCGTTCCACAGGGCGGGTGCCTCCACAGAGAAGGCTCTCTTCATTTTTCTTCTGATAATTTTTATTCTTTTCAATACTGTTTTACTTAACTATAATGCTCCAGTACTATATACTATTTTTGGATATGTATTTTTTAAATATTTAAACTCATTCTCTAAAAAAAAACCTTCAATTTACTTTTCTTCCAAATAATTAAAACAGAACACAGTCTATGATGGTGAGTTCAATCTTGCATAAGCAGACATAATTAATTGGGATTCACACTGGCCAAGATGCATCCAGCTGATGGAACTGTTTTACTAACCCCACAGCAACTTAAATCAAATCTGAAAAGATGTTTCAGTTTCATTCAGTGAGGGTTTAGCTCATTAAACTCTTTTCCTTTTTAGCATTGTTCCTGAAACTTGAACTGCTCTTTGCTCTTAAATGCTCTTTAGCAGTTTAAAGGCTATAGAGGAAAAGACTTATCAGCCTCTGGTTTTAACAGCACTAAATCTGCATCATTAGAGGATGCAGATAAGGGGATTTCAAGACCCAGCTTGAAATTTCTTTCTTCTGTCTTTATCTGACACTGCATAACTCCTGTAGCTCAGCTGGAAATGTAGATCTATGAATCCTTAAAGGGAGATTAAAAGGCAAGAAAAGACTACTTTCTTTCCTATAGATGCTTTTACTTTCCCCTTTTCTACTGTCTGAAGGAGTGATGGCAGACAATAGTTCAAGATGGTTCCCAAAACCCTCTGAATGGAGGCACTGTTGGTGGCAGCATTCATTCAAAGTGAGCTTCAGTGTATTGTCCTCCCCCATCAGCAGATCAGAATAGAGTTTGCTGGTGGCTGCCAAAAGGTTAGCAGCCCTGATGAAAGGGGTTTCCCATTATTCACTGCTCTTACAGAAGTCCCTTTTGTGCTGAGAAGCCCACCGTTTCACTACGGAGGTCCGGATCTGTGGCTGGCTGCTTTCTCAAAATGAGCAATCTATGTGAATGCAAACCCACTGTGATAGTGCCACCTAAAACTGAAGATTTTCTTTTCTGAAAGGCAGGAGAGCCAAGTCTGGTTTTGGCAGTGTCACATCGTAATGATATACTGCCATGACATATTTGACCTACAATTAGTGCTATTGCAACTGAGCAGTTTCCTTACTTTCACCAAGATGCTTGTGGAAGCATTCCAAAGCCTGACAACATTAAAAGAAAGCAAACAGAAAATCACAGTAATATACAAATGTTCCCTTGGAACACTATCATAATCAAGAGATGGAAATAAATCCCACATCAAAAACTAATTCATTCCCCTTGAAGTTTACGCACATAAGTGCGTGCTATTTGATAGAGTGGGAAAATGGGTCAATTATTTTCATTAGACCACCTACTATCTTCTAGTTGCTAGGATCACTACAAAGAATGCTTGCTCAGGTAGAGCTTAATCTTATCCACCAAAGAATATCCACAAGAAAAGTAGACTCACAATCATGTTACCCAGATTAGTTATGCCTGAATTCTAAAGGGACACCAAATATTTTTTTCAGTACATTTGGCACACACTGGTATATTATAGGGACTGGTGGCCCACACAGATAATAAGGATGAAATCAAAATACTTTTAGAATAATTAAAACAAAGCAAGAAACAAAATAAAAACCTTATAAAGCTCCATTTTTAAGATGGGGAGTTTAGGGAAAAGAAAATTCATGAATTTTGAGTAACTGGATAGTTGAAGCATACCAATCAATACATTATACAAGAATCCTTTGCCAGGTGAGGAGTAATCAAATCAAATGACAATCTCATATTCTAACATCCACATTTCTTTTGCCCAAATGTTCTTCATTCTGAATATAGAACAATAGGCATGAGAAAGCATGAAAAGTTGGCTGGAAATAAAATACCTTATTTGTATTTAGCATTATGTTACCCAGAAAGTGAGGATTAGAATACTATATTTTTATCCCATATTATTCTGTAAATTCTTGAATTTTGCCAAACTATGTACAATGAATAAATGTAGCCTATCATTAATATCTTTAGAAAGTAAAAAAAAAAATCCAAATTCAGTTTAATGTATAAAATGGGAATGTTCAAGGACAGAATAGTAGTGATATATTAAACTATGGAACAAAAATGTTGAGTCTATTAGAAGTGAAGCACAGATGTGCAAGTGCAAATGTTTTAATGTTATTATGTTATATTATTTAAAAAAAACCTTGCACAAGTTGAATTCCTTTTCAATATAATTCATTGTATCAACATTGAATTGATTCACCTTTCTTTCTTCCAGGAGGTTTCTTTGATTTTTCAATTTATCTTCCAACCTTGGTATTTCCTGGTGATAACCTATCCAAGTATTATACTAACCATGTTTATTTCTATTTAACTTCTTTGAGTTTGGCTAGGATTTGTTGAGGACCTTTCTGATTATAAACATATCTGAATTCTACAATCATCAAACCCTGATAGGTCCTACAAAAATAAAAGGATATCAATGTAAACTGGGGTTTATGAATATTACAATTCCAGCTCATTTGGAGGACACAATTTGGAGAAAGCTGCTGTACTTATAGGTAATTAGAACATGCCTTTTATACCTGAAATACCGCTCATTTACTTTCAAAACATACTGGAAAGATTTCATAAGTCTAGTACCATATTTACAAATAACATGTTTTACAAATGGCACAAGTTTTTTATGCCTTTTTAAAGTTTACACTTTTAAATAAAACAAGTTAATCAGAAAAAGTGTTAGTAGACTCCTGATTTTTACCACATAGACTAACACAGCTTTAATAATGTTAGAAAAAAAAGCAGAACATTCCAGTAATTTATTTTTATAAAGGACTTGATCACTATACTGACCATAGTTTTCAACATTAAACTTTTCTTCTTTTTAAAATGCTTTTTGTTAATTTATGCTTTCAGCTCTTCAGGAATATGGACATTAAAAAAAAAAAGTCTCAATAATCACCACCACCACAACAATAACTTTTTAAATTGGAAATATAACATATTTATTTTTATTTATTTATTTTATTAAATTTTTATACCGCCCTTCTCCCGAAGGACTCAGGGCGGTGTACAGCCAAAAATAAAACCCCCAACTATATGAAAGTTAAAAGACAATTTAAAAATATTAAATAATTTGGCCGAAAGAGCTAAAATAGAAACCACCCATTAAAATAGCATTTAGGCCAGCCCTGCTTGGTGAAACAATAGCGTTTTGAGGGCATGGCGAACATAGAGCAATATAAGGAGCCAATAATGTCTATTACTTACCTGTCAAGTACATAACCAAGGGCCTTATGCCTTATTCCTGAGTAAACAGATGGGCTTGTTTCCCAAGCAACTAAATTGGAAGCATCATGGAAAAGATGAATGTTTACCAAGTCAAAGGCACTGTGACAAAAGGAGAAAAAAAAGATTGTCTCAGAATATAAATAAGAATGTAAAAATTGTGAAATACACAATGACAATATTTTAAAATATCAATATACTACATATATTGTAAAAGCAGCAACTAACATAAAACAGCACAGCACAGTAAAAATAGCCAAATACAAACTAGAACAAATCAGTGTTTAAGAATTCACAAAGCAGAACCTAGGACCTTGGTGTTGGAAGGTAATTCCAAAAAAGTACACAGAAAATGCCCTGTTGTACTCATCATGCAGTTCTTACTTGTGAACTTGAAAGCAAAGTTTAGCAGTTGGTTTTACAGTTCATCAGGTTTGTGCAAGTACAACAGTCCTTCAGAAAACCTAGTACCAATCCATTTAGGATTTCAAAAGGACATATTAGTATATTAAATTGGTTTGGAAACACACACTATACAACAAAGGTACATGACATAAATGTTTAGCTTCTACAGTGGTTTTGACTGCTTCAGTACCTCCTTTAAATATATTATAGTAATCTGGCATACTTTTTATTATAGATACCATGGTAAAGTGAGTCTAGAAAAACTCTCAAACTTCGTATTTATCTGCTCTGGAGGAAAGCAATATCTTCTACAGCAAGGGTCTCCAACTCCCGGTCCGTGGATCAGCACTGGTCTGTGGCATGCCAGAAATTGGGCTGCGCAAACAAGTGATGTCCCATCTGCAGGATGCAGGAAGCATGCAAAACCACACTTCCTCCAGCCCGTGGAAAAACCTTTCTCCATGGAACCAGTTTCTGGTGCCCAAAAGGTTGGGGACTGCTGTTCTACAGAGTATTATGGACTTGCATCTAGATAAACTTTAATTCCCTCTCTCCCCAAACTATAAAGATTAAGTTTCTACTTGTCTTCTTGCCCCCAAATACCTATTTGATATTTTTACTATAACCTTGTAATGGAGAATAGAAAAGAGAAGTAGAGCTGTGTGTTATCCGCATATTGGTGATATTCCAATATGTGTCAAGTAGATGTTAAAAACCATGAAGAACAAGTTAGAACCTTGAGGCCAGTGGAATGCAGTGGAATAGGAATGCAGTGGAATAGGAAAAACATCAGGACCATCTTCTGAAACCTTTCCAACAGAAAGTTCTAGAACCACAAAGATACATTGCCTCCAAGTCCTGACACATTTCCTAAAGTCCTGACTTTAGGAAATTTTGTTCCTAAAGATACCATGCTACTGATATCAAAATATCCATCTCACCCATTCTCTGATATAAGCATCCACAAATGTGATCAATAAAATTTCTGCATGAAACTCAATAATAAATAAATAAAAGCCCTATCCGGAATAAAACTCAAATAAAACCCCTATCTGCATGAAACTCAACAATAAATAAATAAAAACCCTATCTGGAATAAATCAGTATCCTCCAAAATCGAGGTGGGGAACAATGCCCCATTTATCACTTGCGGACTTCAACTTCCAGAATTCTTGAGCCAGCATTCTTGAGCCAGAATTGAAGTCCACAAGTCATATAAGGGCCATCATTCCCCACCCCTGTTCTAGAATATGAATTCAGTTTTGTTATCATATAGCTTTTCACTTAATATATTATATATTTAATATTATAACTTCTTAAATGTGAATATTAAATTCCCTCTAGGTATAAATCAAAGAAAGATTTATGCATCTATTGAGAAAGTCAACACATTCTTTTGAGGAATTCTAGTGAGGATCTATGGCAAACTAGATGCCCTTGAAGGAGGGAACAGTTTTGCAACTGAGATCGATAGCCAGATAGTGAAATCTGTCCGACAAAATCTCTTCTGAAAAAGGAGAGAGATTATTTAACTTGGAACATAAATGGAGCCAACCCCTCCCCCAAGAAAAAAAGTATTCCATTACCTAAAGTAACTAAAACAGCATATAATTTGCCTTCAGGAAATACTTATTGAGAATAAAGATGTAAAATACTTAATTTGCAAAAAAAAAAAAAAAATCTGGTCCATTATTCACAAATATCCTTCAATACATCCAGTGTTGAAGTATTTTGCTACATTCTGTATTAGTAAGTAAAAAACGTTCTTGTCTTTTAATTGTAATCTTTTTGTATAATATTGTATATTTTTGTATATTGTATAATATTTTTATCCAAGTTTAAAAATACAATTTTAAAACATGTCTGCCATTATAGATAGATTGTTTAAAAGTTTGTATGATGGAGGAACAAGTTTTACTGGACAAGACTGAGTGATTTAAAAATGACAGGGTATAGGAATGATATAAGAGAGCTAGTTTGGTCTAGTAGTTAAGACACAAGGCTAGTAAGTGGAGACCATGAGTTCAAGTCCTGCCTTAGCATGAAAGCCAGTTGAGTGACTTTGGGTCAGTCACTCTTTTTCAGCCCAACCTACCTCACAGGGTAGTTGTGGGGAAAATAGGAGAAAGATATGTTGGATATATTTGCTGTCTTGAGTTATTTTATTAAAAATAATAAAGGTGTTATACAAACAAATAAAATATGGAAAAAGATGCTACAGTGGACATAAAAGAAACTGACTAATATCATAATAATTAAAAGGGATATACAAATAATAAGCTAAGACCGTGATGGCGAACCTATGGCACGCGTGCCACAGGTGGCATGCAGAGCCATATTAGTGGGCACGCCAGCTCAGCTCTGGGGCACATGCGCACGCCGGCCAGCTGATTTTCAGGCCTTCTGGGCCCACCAGAAGTAGGGAAACAGGCTGTTTCCTGTCTCTGGAGGGCCTGGGGGGCTGGGGTGGGGAAGGCCCGTTTTTCTTTCTTACCTAGCTCCAGATCCTCTCTGTGTATCTGGGAACGGCGAAAACAGCCTTTCCCACTCCCTTGGAGGTCCTACGGAGGCTCAAAGGGCCCATTTCCCCACTCCCAGTAGGACAGGAAGTGACGTTTTTTCCTGTCCCCAGCCTCCAGAGACTCCTAGAGAGGCTCCTACAGACTCCTAGAGAGGCTCCTACAGACTCCTAGAGGTTCTGGAGGCTGGGGACAGCAAAAAATGTCACTTCCTGTCCCACCGGGAGTTGGGAAATGGGCCTTTTCAGCCTCCGTAGGGCCTCCAAGGGAGTGGGAAAGGCTGTTTTCGCCGTTCCCAGATACACAGAGAGGATCTGGAACCAGGTAAGAAAGAAAAACAGGCCTACCAGGCCATCATGTGCCAGGAGCGGGGGGGGAGGGGGTTGCGCACACACGTGCATGCGCGACCCTCCCCCGCCCCCCCTCTCCTGGCACGCGATGGCAAAAAGGTTAGCCATCACTGAGCTAAGAGAATGACCTGAAAAACTTTATAAAAGAATCTTATCAAAGTTTTGAAAATTTTTGTGAGAAGGAACAAAGAAAAAATAAAAAGAAATCAAGATCTAGAACAGTGATGGCTAACCCTTTTGCCATCGTGTGCCAGTAAGGGGGGGACGGGGAAGGTTCGCACACACACGTGCCCACACCCATAATTCTATGCACCCCACTTTGCGCATGTACGCGCAACCTCCCCTTCCCCCCCGTTCCTGGCATGTGATGGTCCGGTAGGCCCGTTTTTCTTTCTCATCTGGCTCCAGATCCTCTCTATGCATCTGAGGAGGGCGAAAACAGCCTTCCCCACCCCCTCAGAGGCCCTCCGGATGCCCAAAACGGCCCGTTTCCCAATTTCCGGTTGGAAAGGAAGTGATGTTTTTTGCTGTCCCCAGCCTCCAGAGCCTCTCTAGGAGTCTATTTTGTCTTTTCTTTTTATTTTAAGATTATATTTTATGAGGCATACAGTAATTGTAATTCTTAATAAAATTTCAGTAAAAATGTGAAAACCAAAAATAACTTTCCTTGGTTATTTTTTTAAAAATGTAGCTAAATATCAATTGGAGAGAACTGATATAAATTAATACGATAATTTAGGAATATGGCAGAAATTTAATTATTATCTACATATTTTCTCTCTAAGATAATATAATATCTTAGGGATCTAATTCAAATACCAATTATATCCTTTTGCCTCAACTTTTCCCAGAAAGTAAGAGTTTCCAATATCTACTGTAGTAAAATTAAGAAAATAAAATACTAGTTTATGTCTAGAAAACAATGTGGCAATATTTAAGCCCTCCTGATTTTCATGTGATTACTAGCATGAATAAATTAACCATAGGTCATAACGGTATAACCTAACATAAAATATGATAACATAAAGTAATAAAGTGTTAGTTACAAAAAAATCAAAATGGGATCTAATCAATTAAAAAATTATTTCAGAATTTGAATGATGGAAAGAGAGTTGGCATATAGTACTGGTTAAGGCATCAGGCTAGATATCAGAAAACCATAGTCCCACCTTAAGCACAAAGCCAACTGAGTGTTTTGGGAATTCACCTACCATCAGTAATTTGCCCCTAATCTCATTGCAAACAGAACCGTGGAGGACACAGAGAATAATGTCCTCTACTTGGTTGGCATCACAGAGACAGAGATGCTTTCAATAAACTCTCTCCTGAAGATATGCCAGTAAATCTGTAAGCAAAGGTGTAAAACCTTTCCCAATGGAGCCAGATACCAAGAAAGACTTATGTGTTTTTTATGGTGATAAAACCAAGATGAAAATTTTGATTTTAGGCGTAGTTCTAATATTTTCTCTATTCCAAGAGTTAAGTTCCACAAAGGGGATAGCCAACGAAGGTTTTATGTATTGATTCCCAGCTTCGTAATGGAGAAAACAGTGAGTTAACGCAGTATTCTTAAAGGCTTTCTAATTTCTTAAAGTAGAAAAGTGCTATCTTTTCTACTACATAAAACAAAAGTGGAAAAATGATCCGATAAAATTCAAATGTTGCTCATAAAATTTTGAAAAAAAGGTAGGAATTATAAATGAGAAAAAGAAACTTAAATGTACGTGATTATTCCACTGTCTTGATGAAATCAAGGTGTATATACACACGAGAATTAACTGAAAATTATAAACTCTAAACCAAATATGTATATTATGCCATTTACAATTTGTTCAATAATGAAAAATGCCTAAAGATTGGTTCAGTATTTAGATGGAATATGCACCAGCTGTTCCAAAACTTATGTCTTCTATAATAACTAGGCATTCATGCAAAGCATGATGTTTAATTCTCCTTCATATTACGTACCAGTCAGTAATACACCATCTTGTTCGTATGAATCCTTTTCTGGACCACTTGCACTGAAAAGTAGTAAAAAGCACAGCAGCAATACATTAAAATATAGAAACAGTAAGAAATGAATCTTCTAGTAAGTTTTACAAAAATTGTGTTAAATATTTTCATGGAGAACACTATAGAAAACATGAGGCTTAATAATACACTAATACCAGGATTATAAGCGGTCTCTGGAGAAGACTCTAATGCTGGGACAGGAAGAGGGAAAGAGGAGAAGACAACCAGCAAGAAGATGAATGGATTCACTTACAGGAATGATGAATGCAATGTTGGAAGAACTGAAGAACAGATCATCATAGAGAAAGTCTATGTATGTGGTCACTAAAAGTTGACAAGAATGTGATGATACATAGTCAATCTAATTATGTGGTCTTCAAATTTTTCCCTGTCTCACCTCCCCCACTTTCCAGTATCCCCATGTATCAGAATCACAGCATGGAAAAGAAAAGTATACAAAACTTAGCTTTTTCTCCAAATGGGAAGTAATATATTCAATGTTCTGTTCCATTAGGAACATAATAATATAAAACTAGCCAAAGTGTTCATTTACAGAGATAAAGGATTAAATTATTTATTTATTTATTTATTTATTTATTTATTTATTTATTTATTTAAATTTGTATACCGCCCTTCTCCTAGTGGACTCAGGGCGGTGCACAGCCAAAACTAAAACACATAACAATGCAAAATTTAAAATTATTAAAAGAATTATATACTTTGGCCCAATTTTAGCTACTGATAACTGCAAGTATTTCTAGTAAAGTCATTTTCCGCAGTCAAATATATTTATTGTCTCACAGCCTATCTGAGTAAGAATGTAGGAGTATAAACATGCCTTTCCTTGTAAATTATAATGTAATATAGGCATTTGGAAAATAGAAATTGGCTAAGCCAATCTCTTTCCAGAGCTGAACTAGCAAAGATATCTATAGTGTGCCATTCCATGCATCAAGATGAGCAATTTTCCATTCCATGAATAAATCAACTCGTTACAAGCTATATTTGAGGTGACATAGAGAAAAGATTTCCAAGTTTATGAAAAACAGTTATGAATTTATTGGAATAACCTTATAACAAAAATGCTAATTGCAGCAAGTTTTCTTTTTTATTGGCTTCAACCTAACTAAAATGACAATATGTAAAAACATATATAAAATTAGTAATAACTAAGGCCTAAATCTAGAACAATGTTATCTGAATTCTGTTTTCACAGTGAAGTCTGACTGCTTCTTCCTTCCTGTTAGATTCTCGTATCCTTATAAAGCTATTTCCTGGACCTAGATTATCAAGATGCCTGGTAGCACAGTCTATAGCCCTGTGTTCTGCAGAGAGAATACCTCTTTAGAAATGAATATTTTCTTGACGATTAAAAGCCTATTTAGTTCTAAATGTACATTTGCAGCAATATAAGACAGCCTGCATTTGTGACAAATGTTTTGAGGATGAAGTATCTTCTTTCTTTTGCTGTTGCTAGTTATGGTCATTTTATAATCTTTAGCTACTCTGACCTGCAATTGACTATACTAAAAGTATATTGATAATGAATCAGCTAAATATATGATATGTTTACTTTCGAGACAAAGTTCTTTCTTGTTTATTGTCAAACAGTATTTTAACATGCATCTCCAAGAATGGGTCTGCTCTCTAATGAATTATCAAGTATAGCTGAAGTCCAAGAACCGAATACAGATGTTCTTTGATGATCCTGGGTTGGTTATGTTGTGTATCATAGTGCTTTCCAGTTCTATTCATTGAAAGTAGGGACAGTTTTAGAATTTTCCATCCCAGAAGGGACTCTGACCACTCCCAGTCCAGAGATGCCCCATGTGTCATATGGTGGAAAAAAACTATTAATGCCTGTACATGTTTTCCTATGCCAATTGGGGTTTGTTTTTGTTTCAAACCCTAAACAAATGGTTTATCAAAAACCGGAAAAGTAATATAGACAATTACATGAAATATGTATACACAGGCAAAGTATCTCTTCTAAAGTCTTTGGCACTTTATATTATTTCGAAGAAGGGAACCCCAAATAAGCAATTATTCATTTAATAAAAAGGAAAGACAAATTAATAAAATATAACACTTAAATGATGATTACAGTCGAACTTTCATATATTTCTTTACTCTTTTCAAACATCTTTGACTAATGATCTCTCACAATGCTGCTATTAATGTGAGTGAATAAACAGAGGCTTCTATTCTTTTTTTAAAAAGCAAAACAGATCACAAAATTATTTAGTCATAAACTGAGTCATATCTACATAACATTTGGTTAACATAGCATTAATGTTGAATCCTTTCAACTAGGAAGCCTTAGCCTTACTTGATATTTTTACAAATATTAAAAATGAAATACAATGTTGCTGTTCTTGTCTCCAGTGCCAACAACTGGAAACAAGGATGTAATTGATTCACTGGTTCAATTTTGAATTGGATTATACCTACCATTAATTCTGCATGCTATCCAACTGATTAAAAGGGTAAAAATGCTAGTCTCTTTTAAAAAGCTAAATATGATGAAATATCAAGAAGCAATAATTATCTTTGCCCCTTTCTCAAATACAGGTTATTATTTTTTTTTAAAAAAGGTCAAATCCCAACAAACCATTAGTTCAAAATGATATTGATGTAGAGTATTTTCAGCAGCACTGAAAATAAGTTGCAAGCAACTAATAAACAGCATGTAAATTTGTGTCCACAGAATGAATCTCACCCTACATGTCCACTGTAACCTTAATTTGGCAGTTCCTACAGAACATAGTTACAGAACACACAATTAGTCAGAAAAACAGAAATAATACTAACTGAACAAATTTTAATTTGCTCTAGAGAGGCATTTCTCATCAATGCAATTCTTATAAATGCAATTTTATGCCATATTACTTTGAATTCTGATGGCTGCCTGACAAAATTTGATATAGTTTTTAAGGTGGTTCTATTAAAATGATAATGAATAATGTGCAAAAATAGCAAAGCAAAATGAATTCAAATAAATTATGAATTCATTTTTAAAATTACAGTTTTGTCATGTAAAATCTCACGGTGAAGACTTAAAATACGTAAACTAAACTAAATATTTGGTTTATAACTTTCATGAAATTCAGCCAGTTCATGGACAAATGTTAGCACATTATAGGAGATGGCCCAAAACATTGCAGCTAATTCTGTCTTAAACCATTTTGCTGGGGTTGGCATTTTTTTTAGTAAGATATCGTATTCTACCATGTTATGGATGCATATATAACAAACACTCATTTTTCACAAAAGGCTGAAATTTCACAAGATTGCTAAATCTGGAGACAGCATTCTGACACCAAAAATCTCATGACATTTCTTAAATCCTACTTACAATGAAAATCTCATGTGATCTTGAGAGATTTTTGGCATTTTAAAAGTACTTCTTTGAGAATGAGTGTGCCTAGAAGCAGAAAGATCTAAATTCTAATCCCCCCTCAGCCATGGAAATTTACAGGATTATTACAGGCACAACCTTTCTCACAGGATCGTTGTGAGGAGAAATAGTTATATATGTTGCTTGGGAGCTTCTGAAAGAAAGTGGGGAGCTGGGAGCTTTTGAAGGGTGGGGATATAAATCAAATAAACATTTATCTAAGTCTTTGATATGAGAAATTGCCGTATTTTTCACACTATAAGACACACCTGACCATAAGATGAACCTAGGTTTAGAGGAGAAAAACAAGAAAAAAAAATGAATATGGAGCGCTGTTTCACTGTAAATATGGAGCGCCGAATATGGAGTAGTGGGGGCAGGAGGTGGAGCCTGAAAGGACCACAGATAGGAGTTCTCTCATGTGCCAGCTCTGCCTATTGACTCCTGCACTGTGGAAAAAAGACAGAAGAGGTGGGCAATGACAAAGACAGAAGAGTTCAGCACTGTAAAAGGACCCCAGTGCCGCAGCCCAGCTGCTATTCACCAAAGGACCAGCACCGGTCCACCGTTGAGGACCCCTGAGGTAATAGGCTTCACAATCTGTAACAGAATATTTGCTCCATAAGATGCACAGACATTTCCACCCACTTTGGTGGGGGAGTGTGTCTTATGAAGCAAAAAATATGGTATGTGACCACTCCAGGTGCTCACTGTTGATCTCTGCACTATGTTTTCCTTTTCTGGAAATGGCACTCATTTACTATTTTATTTTCAAAGACAATAAACTCTTCGGGAGACAGAAAGGCAAGCAGAGTCTAATAGGAAAAGAAACTTTTGATTCAGGCGCAGAATGAAAGCTAATAAGAGAGTCCCAATTTAAATTAATACTTGAAATTAGATAATTCCTTCGTCATATAAAGAATACCCCTAGTAGACACATCAAAACAACATCAGGTATTACTATGACTAGACACTTTCAAATAATGATTTTCCTCAGGAAATCAGAGCCATCTTGCAAGTAAGCATTAAATAGCAATAGCAATGGCACTTAGACTTATATATCGCTTTACAGTGCTTTACAGCCCTCTCTAAGCGGGCTCAGTATCAAAATACTGCAAGATTATCTGTTACCATCAACAATGTGTTATCTAGATTTTAGAATATAGCTTCTTTTCTGCCACAAGAAATGAGTTCAGCATCTTTCACCTTATACAATATTAAGTCACTCCCCAGTTTTCCTGTTAATAAGATTCCTTTGGTCAGGAAACAGATTGTGAATACAGGCAGTTTCATCTACTAAAAGACAACATAAATCATCACTGAGAAAAGAGAGACTGCAGTAAGGTTATCACCATACAGCCTTTATTATGAAAGGTTTGCATTAAAGCATTAGTGAAATTAATTCATCTTTCACAAGAGCTTTGAGCAGTATCCATGATCTATGATAACAACCAATTTCTCACTATGGAAGGGGGGGAAATTACTCAATCCTGATAGACTACACAAATCTGCTTTCTTAAAAATGACCTAACATTATCTGGAGTGTTACTCCCAGAGGCATCATTTGAGGCTCATGCACAGCCAAGAAAAACAATAAATCACTAGAGAAAGTTTTGTTACTTTTATATGCAGTGAGCTGTAATTATTTTGAATTGCACTATGGCTCAATCATTGTAATTAATTTTAGATCACCCTTAAGCAGCAGTAATAAAAGAAATCTGTTTTAAACGAAGGGCAATGCACCCCCTAAAAGAACATAAATGGTACATTAAAAGATAGTGTCAACAGTATAGTAATGAGAAGTTGAAAATCATTTTGCTTTCAGGTAAGAATATAAAATGTGCTGTTTGCATAAATTCTGACATTATTCTTTAGTGTAGCAGTCTTATACACAATGAAATTTAGTCCTATTGAAAGCTGTATTGATTAGCCACAAATATGTTCACTGATTTCTTATGTATATATTTGTATTTGCATTAATCTAAATAAAGTGTTTGATAATGGAAAAACAAACAAACATTGCACCTGGATCAAAAAGCCGGATCAGTCACCATCATGCCAAATATCCTTCCCAATTGATTAACTATATTTGGCTGGCTTGGCTGAATCGTAATTCAGTGACACATATTATTATAGTTAGATTAGGTTACTGCAATATGTTTTGAACTGACAGAGTCAGAAATACCTGGGTTCAGAATGTATTAGCTAAAAGGTCTGAGCATATGAAATAGTTTTAAAGTTTAAAACTCAGTTTAAAACGATGGTTTGCCCTTCATAGAACTAGACATTTTGAAAATAAGTCATTCGGAATTCATACTCAATATGAGCCTGGCCAAGTTTTCAAAACAACTCCAGTACCTTTGCATTTTGACTCAGTGATAACACCCAAAGTTGCTCTATGAGGAAGATGGGTGATTTCTAATAGAAATATATAAGGTATGTAATAGATAAAATACATAAGAGATAAATAAGAAATTCTCCTCAAGCTTTTAGTAAACAAAAGAAAAGGAAAACCATTGATAGGATTATCCTTTTCTTTAGATCAGGATTCAAAAATGATTCCAATTAAATGAACAAAGCAATCAAAATTATAATTACATGCTTCATTTTCAAATATTACTGTTTGTCTATATTTACCTCAGGGAAATAATCCTGTGGGAACTTTTCTTTTTCCAGCATAGGTGTACTTTCTAATGTATCTGAATAGATCTCTTTCCCCGTAACTTTTTTGTATTTCTTAGCTGAAAAAGAATAAGAGAATTTAGAATATTAGTTTTAATATGCCCAGTATAAGAAAACAAATATACTAATTTAAGAAACTGGTAGGTAATAATCAACCAAAGAAAGAAATTAAGATGCCTTCATAAAAATTCAGTTGAAACATGCACTTAAAAAGTAATCAAAATGAAATAATTCTTTTTTTGCATTTCATGTTGATAGTGATAAATGTTGTTGTATTAATATTTCTACAATACTACAAACAAGATGCACAAATTCTCAATTGCTAATATTCTGTTCCTTTTTGTTGGACTAATATTCTCCTTAATTTATCAGGTGTTTTCATTTAACCCCATCATGCGGAATGTTCATAGAATTAGTGGATATAAATGAGGATTTAAATTTCTTCTTTAATATGGAAGTGTCTATGTATAAACTCTCATATTCTACAGTAATTCCGTATTTCAAAATGTCAGACTTCACTAGATGCTCACTGTCCTTGAAAACTTGTGCATTATGTTTTTGAAAGAATTAATTTAGTGACACTGCTTCTCTAGGTGTTGTCCTTTGTACTCTCCAAGTTTAGCTACTGGTATATAAAATTTTGTTCATCAGACTCAAATGGCTGATCTGTTGGCATAAGGGGAGAATGAATAAGGAAGAATTGGGGATGAGGAACCTAAACTAAAAGATATCTTAAAATGCATGATTCCAGCAAAAGGATGTTTCCTAGTTTTGAAAAATGAAATATATTCAACCATTTATATTCAGAGCTCATTCTTTGCAAAAGGCCAAAGTATGGTATGAAGGCATGTCATGCATTAACAGTGAAGTTATTATGTAAATATGTCAACTAGTTTAAATTGCAGGCAAGAATGGCAGAATTGTCTGATTTAATTTGCATGATTTATAGGCTATCCATTTTGTGGATCTCTGGTTGATGCACAATAATAAAATAGCAAAAGCCCAGATCTTATCATTAAAATCATAAAAATAATATTCATAAAGTCATAAAAATCACAAACACTATAATTACAAAAAAAATGCAAATAAAATTCAGTGCTGGAACTCTGGAAGCCAAATTTGTATAAAAGATATATCCATTAATCTCAAGAACTCCAAATTTCATAAAATTGGTGGGACCTAACTAGATCTTATTAGTTTGTACTTATATGCTTTAACTAGCTCTCAAAGTTAGGCAGAAAAATCCAAAATGAAGCTAAAACTTAAGTGCATTTATCAGATGAGTCCATAATATTAAAAATAATCTGTATTATTGTTTAGCAACCATTAAATTGTTGCATTTGAAAAAAAATGAATAGACAAATTAATCTCTCATTAAGAGGCACCCATATCACACTTGCAATTTATTTTATTTCACAGACAAAATATATTTGGATGTTACTTGATTATCATTAAAAAAGGTAAATAGAAGGATAGCAGTTATGCTTTGAAATGCAACACTTTTAGAACCACTATTCTTTAATAACCCCACCCCCACAAAGCAAGAAGAGGGGTATCATTTTGCATAAGAACAAGAATAATGAAACTGAACAATTTAGACAATTATTTCACCTACAATTTCAATGATGTGATGTGGAACAAAGGTATAGAATGAATGTGACTTGTCACAACAAGCTAAAAGAAAATTAGGATATTTTTATACTGAAATTAGAGCAGTCATTTATCAAACCCCAAATAGTTTTTAAAACAATCAAAGTTGTTCAAAATATTGGAAAAAGCATTGTTTAAACTGTTATCCTAATATACCAAAGATATGATTATACAGTGTACATGTAAAGGAAAAGTGAAATGCAAGTTTTGTTAACATTTACCTCTTTGATTTCAAGAGCTGGCATGTTGTCATGGTCAAATTGGACTGGGGCAAGTACCAGAGAGATGTCATTCAGCCTTGAAATACATTGGTAACACTATAGTACTTACAGCTTGTAAGCTTTAATGTCTAAACCAGTGGTTCCCAATGTGGGGTCCATGCCCCACAGGGGGGAAATTTGATTTTTAATGGGAGAGATTAAAAAATGAGCTATTAACTGAATGTTTGAAAGCCTGCTAATTGTTCTTATATATTTGTGACGAAACAGCTGTGTTTCATTTACCTATTGTTGTCTTTGTTAAAGTTAATTTCCTAGGGCCTGGTCTGAAAAGGATATCCCAACTGGGGGGAGGAGGGAGCAACTGCCAGCCAATCAGATGTGTTCCTACTAAGGATCACGGGACTGGCAGCATCTCTCTCTCCCTTTCCTGTGGGCTTTGCTGGTGGGTGGTTGCAGGGAGAGCTGCTCTGTGGGGAGACAGAGTGGATGGCTGCTGGGGGAAGTCCAGCAGTGAGGATACAGAACCAGGACCCAAGTTTAAGTAAGGAATTGTTAGATTTACAGTTATTTGTAATCTTACATTTATGTGAGAAAAAACTTTAAAACTTTATTCAATATAAAAGGAGCGATGGCATGGCTTTGTGATGAGGCAGAAACTAAATACCCAAATTAAACCTACTTTGCAATAAAACTGCTGTTACCGTTCCCATCTTCATATTTAGGTGAATGTGGCTTTAGTGCTGTAAATGATTTGCTACTGAAGAAAAGAAATCGACTGGCTATCACTGAACGAGGAGACTTGAGAATGAAGCTGACTAAATTGGAGCCTAATATAAAATCTCTCTGTAGCAGGCAGAAAAAGCTTTCATTAACATTATTTTATATTTATGCATTTCAGTTCTCTATTATATGTTTGGAAACTTTATTTGCTGTTTTTTCATACCCCTTCATACTATTATTTTTTAAGTTCCTCACTACTTCTACTGTCTTTCATTCTTTTATTTTTCTCTTTCATGGATGCCATGTTCTTTGGAACCTTGTTTAAACCAAATTAATGGCCTTTAGGCTTCCTCCGTGTGAGTAGGAGTTCACTTTTTGAATAGTAAGAATTATATGTCACCGGCAGGGCGGGGGGATCAGGATTTTAGAGATGTTTAGGTGGGGCATGGCCAAAAAAAGGTTGGGAACCGTTGGTCTAAATGAAAAAGCCTCTATTACCTACTGCCTTGATTTCTGCACGTCAAGTAAGTAATAGTTCTTCCCTCAAAGCATGATCTTCTTTGGTTAATTTTCTATCAACTTCATAGGAATACAATTATTGAAGAAAGCAAAAAAGTAAAGGAGTCCCTGCAGATTTTACTCCACTAATCATTGCAGGCTATAGGGGGTGGTGTTCATCTCTGTTTCAAGGACATTTAGCCAGTGTTATCTGAAGACATTTATACAGTCATGTGGCCAACATGACATCATGGAACCCTGTTACCTTCCCACTGAAGATGTACTTATTTATCTACTTGCATTTGTACACTTTCGAAATGTTAGGTTGACAGGAGCTGGGGCAAGGATGGGAGCTCATCCTGTTGAGTTGTGGTCAGATCTCGAACCTGGGCTGCCGGCTTTCCAGTCAACAAGCCCAGCGTCTTAACTCCTGAGCCACTGCATCGCCATTGAAGAAGGAGAAACCATGAATACTACTTGGATGTTTTCAGAAAGACAACATAATAATTTTGAATGAAAAAATAATTTGACCAAGTGCAAATGTTTCTGCCAGAATTCTTCATTCTATGTTAGATAGCAATAGCAGTAGCAGTAGCACCTAGACTTATATACACTATCACAAAGTCCTTTACAGCATTCTCTGGGCAGTTTACAATAGCAATAGCAATAGCAATAGCAATAGCAATAGCACTTAGACTGGGTGTCGGCAACCTGCAGCTCCAGAGCCACATATGGCTCTTTTACCCCTTTCCTGCAGCTCCCTGCCAACGCAGTTGTGCGGCCTGCTCTCTGTCCCGAGACCCTGGCCCGATCCAGTCGTGTAACCTGGTCTCTGCCCCAAGAAGGCAGGAGCCTCTCTGCAGAGCTGCACAACTGAAGTGCCCCTAGCATTTTCTCCACACTACCCGCAATTGGATGCTTTTTGCGATTCCGCGTCCTTTATGGGCAGCTCAGCGCCAGCCGCAGTCCCGTTCGTGTTGGCTCAGGAAGGAGGGGAACGGGGAGGAACTGCCGCTGGATGCAGGGAGGGAAGAGCTCTGGCTCTCCTGCGCAGCGTGGCTGGCTACTCACCTAAGCACACAGTGGGAGGAGTCGTCACCACTACAATCCCGGCCCAGGAGAGTATCCTGCTTGTGCGCGCACGAGAAAGAAAAAGATGACGGAGAGAAAAGGGGAGAAAAAGAGAGAGAGAGAGAAAATGAGAAAATGATGGAGGGAGAGAATGAGAGAGGGGAAAAAGAGAGGGAAACAAATGAGATAGAGAAGGGGGAGAGAAAGGAAGAAAAAGAAAGGAAGAAGGAAGGAAGAAAGAGGGAGGGAGGGGGAAAAGAGAAATGAGAGGGAGTGGAGAGAGAGAGAGAGAGACCCATATCCCACAGAAAACACCGGGAGCCACAACAACCTAGGTAGGTGTAGCTGGGGGGATGTTTGTCATGTCACTGGGTGGAGTGACATTGAGTTGGTCATGCCCAACCAGGTTTTGTGGCTCCCAGTGTTTTCTTTTTTATGTGAAATGGGTCCAAATGGCTTTTGAGTGTTTAAGGTTGCAGACTCCTGACTTAGACTTATATACCACTTCACAGTGCTTTACAGCCCTCTCTAAGCAGATTATAGAGTTAGCATATTGCCCCCAACAATCTGGATCTTCATTTTATCGACCTCAGAAGGATGGAAGGCTGAGTCAACCTTCAGTCCATCAGGACTGAACTTCAGATTGTGGCCAGAGTTAGCCTGCAATACTGCATTCTAAGCAGTGATCCACCAGGGCTCTAGATTGATTGATTGATTGATTGATTGATTGATTGATTGATTGATTGATTGATTGATTTATTTATTTATTTATTTATTTATTAAATTTATATACCGCCCTATTCCTGAGGGACTCAGGGCGGTGAACAGCGAACGATAAAAATACATGTAATACAAACGTTAATAAAAAAAACCAATTAGATCAAATGTACAATTAATTGTCCTTTAATAATATTGTCACTGCCACTTATAATCCTTTTTCTGATGACTAGAGTAAGTCAGTGAACATTAAGCAGCAGTAATAAAAAGAAATCTGTCTAAGGGCAAAACAGCCCATAAAAGAACATAAATCATCCAATAAACTTTCTTGGCTGATGACTAACATAAATCCAACATTTTCAATGCTGTATCACAGTGGTCCCCAACCTTTTTATCGCCGCGGCCCGCTGAGCACGCGCAGGGGTGGGGCCGCGGCCCAGGAGCCTTTGCGCAGGCCCATTGCGCACGGCCCAGGAGCCTTTGCGCAGGCCCATTGCGCACGGCCCAGGAGCCTTTGCGCAGGCCCATTGCGCACGGCCCAGGAGCCTTTGCGCAGGCCCATTGCGCACGGCCCAGGAGCCTTTGCGCTGCAGCGTTCCTGTCCCCCGGCCGCTGCGCGGCCCGGTGCCAGGTACTCCACGGCCCGGCACCGGTCCGCGGACCGGGGGTTGGGGACCACTGCTGTATCATATTGGCCTATGAAATGAACTGAACACTCCAAATATCCTGAGCAGAAGACTTAGATTCGCTAAAACTGTCAAGTGTACACAAGTGGCAGACTGTTATGCCAAATCCCAGAGATGACATAGTAAAACCCAATTGAGTCCAATCCTTGGATTCAAATCATTGCTTATCTTTAGTAGACAGAATCTTGGTAAAGTAAAGCTATAACTTTCTAGTGTATGAGATAAATCCTGAGAAATTCCAGGATATGGCTACCCTGAACCTTTTCCCTCCCTCCTCCTTCCAGCTTGGTTCTGCACAGACTCTTAATCCAGTTTAGTGTTGCCAAAACTCTCTCCCTTAGTTCTTGCAGGGGCACATTTTATCACACAAACTCACATTTGCTGTTTACAATGTATACAAGCTCTTAAAACTCTAAGGAGAATGTTTCTTCTGATGTGAAGAATGAATAATATAACTCTCCAAATATTTTTAGTCAAGAACATCACTCAAGTCAATGGAAATCACTTCCCTATTGAATATGTATAGGATTGAAGCACTGTTGGTGTTCCTTACCTTTAAAGTCAAATTGGTAAATATTTTTCAAGGATTCATGTAGAAAGTAAAAGCTGCCCAGTGCCTGTGGAAAACAAAAACAAAATCAGCAATGCACACAAATAAATAAAATCCATACACCAATAAAGGACTAGAAAAAATCAACACATTCTTAAAGTAGAGTGAATTGAAAGGGCTTTCAGGGGAGGTACAGTAAAGTGAAGATGGGTTGTTGGAGAAAGCAGAGCTGATGACTGTGGCAAAGACCAAGCATCTTGCGAGTATACCAATTGTTTGGAACCTCTCCATATACAGGAAGGAGAGGACAGGAGACTACCCTTATGCTCCTTGCAAGGATCAAGGACATTAATTTTCTTTGAGCTTTAGCACGAGGAGTTGATGGAATTAGCAACTGCAGGGGAGGTGGCAGAGTTAAAAAATATCACTTTCTAATCACTTTCAGAAATTGTTTATTAATCATTTTAACAAATCTGAAAAGCCTTTATAAGACAAGTTTATCTCCAACTCTGAAGAAAAGAAAAATTAATTACTGTATAGATTGTTAAATTCGAATTAAAGAATTTGAAATAAACAAAAAGCTAAATATTGAGCTTGATCTAAGAAAGTTATAAATGGGTCAAGGGTCCAGATAAATTTGGAATAAGTCTGCCTTAACTTCAGCTGGTTGTTCATAAGTCAAGGTCTACCTGTACATGTAGTAATGGAAATTTGAAGAGACTTTTCTATATATATTTCTTTTATTATATTCTCCTTTTCATTTTCATTTTCCCTGCAGTTTTTATTCTTCCTTTTCATTCTTTTTTCTTTCCTTTAGTTTTGTTAGGTTTTATTATTGTAATCAAAGTTCCTAATAAAATTGTGTATGTGCATGGTATGTATAAGAATAAATCAAAATTTTATAGCAATTAGTGTCTAGTACATATTATATTTCAAAATCTATTTCTTAATGTAAACATGTATCTGTTTTAAGGTTTGTGACACCTTAAATGCTGAGCCTTAGCAAACTGTATAGTTGCAGAATACAACAGCATGAATACATGATTTTTTAAATGTAAATGTGTCAACGTGAGGTAGCGTTAAATACATTTATGTCTGCAAGAATATGTCCTTCTAGAATATTGCTATTTACAGAATTATTATGATTCTTTATACATGCCAGTGTATCTTTGGAATATTAGAGAGAAGTTATCTCTTACTTTTTATTAATTGCAAATAAAAATTATTAGATTTCAGCCTTTTTACCTTATTTATTTCTTTTTTTTTAAAAAAAAAATCCCTTATCTTTCCTTCCAGAAAATAGCTGTTCTTGGAGTTCTGTTTTCAGGAATGACTGTACTTTTGTACTTTTCTCCTGGGTAAATAAATGCTTAATAACAATATAACACAATAAAACAATAATAGTAACCAAAGCAAGCTGCCTGATTCATAAGAATGTGTACTCATCAATTAAAATGTGTGACAGTGTTTTCTGTTGGATGAACTGATATGTCAAGAAGATGAGTAGGCGCTCATGTTTGTGTTTTTGACAAATCAGCAAATGTTTCATCCTGAGATATGCAATTTCTCATACATAATGCAACAATCAGCCAGCCAAAACTTGGCTTTGCCAGAAGGGTGCCCCTGTCTTCTCGTTATTGAGTTGTTGTTTTTTTAGTTGAAGAGTCAGAAAATAAACCATTCCTTTCATTAAAAATATAATCTCTTTTTCTGTTATCACCTATACCCTGTGAAAAAAGTTGAAATGTGTGCCTAACATATTTACAGATACAGATTTTACCTCACCTCCGAGTAATTTATAAATCATAAATAGGTTCAGTGTTCAGTTTCTAGCATTCCATTACTTTGTCAATTGAAAACATTTTTAATCTACTGAAAAGCACAAAAGTCGCCTTTTTGTGTGTGCAAAATCACACAAGAATTTTTCTTGAAACTGAAAGCAGCCATTAAAAAAAAATACACAGAGAAGGATCAATAATACACAAGGTCTGTTTTTCAAACTGCTTCTATATTCAGGAATTCATTGCCAAATGCATAAGGGTAGAACCAAGTGTCTAGCTGGAGACTTGCAGATCTTCTATGAAGTATAGATTAAAATCACTTTATTGCCTAAAGTGCAATCCAAAAAGCAGCTCCCTCATCACAGCACTGATATATATAACACCCATCTTTTCTTCCCATTTGATGTCCCCTGAAGCAAGTTGCTTTTCCCAATGCATGGGAAAGCCTAATCTGCTTCTACTTAACAAAATACTGAGTTTTTAAAAAGAAAAATAAACTGAGGTAGATAAACAATTTGCTCTTAATAAATTGTAAAGTGTAGGTACTGAGCATTAAAGATGCCAGATTACCAGCTCTTCTTTTTAAATTAGATAATCTTTTAATAAGAAAACTATCTGAATTTTATTGAAGCATTACTAGGAGTGGTGTTATTGTCATGCTTCTGTTGCTACATTGTAACAGCTATCCCCATATAATCGCTTAAGTGGTATTGAATCAAGTTTAGGTGATCTTTAAGTTAAATGCATACAATTTTGATTTTGTAACTATTAAATGGCCTTCCAAGGATATTCTACTAGCTTCTTTGATCCAATTTATCCACCACCGTCTTCTGCTTCTTGCATTTTCCTTGGTGTAGTCCCATGATGGCGAACCTATGGCACACGTGCCACAGGTGGCACACAGAGTCCTCTCTGCGGGCATGCCAGCTGTCGCCCCAGCCCAGCTCTACTGCGCATGCACATGTGTCTCCTGCCGGCCAGCTGGTCTTCGGGTCTCTGCCGCACATGCCCAGGGGGTGGGGCGCATGCACGAAGGGTGCAGGAGGCTTTCCAGGCCCAAAATAGTGCGTGGGGGGCCTCATGTGGCACCCCTGTACCCTGGTTTGGCTTCCAGGTTGGTGCAGGAGCGTTTCCAGGCCCAAAAGAGGGCACAGGCGCATGCACAGGGGGGCACTCGCATTGCATTTCGGGGGTTCGGGCATGTGCATGTGCATTCGCCCATGCATGCTTTGGCCACTCGGCACCAAAAAGATTAACCATCATTGGTCTAGTCAAACATAATCATCTCTTTACATCACATACTTAAAGTATACAAGTTTCTGCTTGCTGATATTATCCATTATGCCAGGAAATTGAAAGCTTCTGGTCAAAAGTGATTCTTCTAATGATCTCTGATACTTGTGGCAACACTTGCGGCAACCATCTCCAAAATTGTTCTTTAGAGGCATCTATTTTCTTCCTTTTAATTTGTGCCATTCAGAACTCCTCACAGTCCAAAACACAAAATCATGGTAATTAATTACATCATAGTAGAAATAAAAATCAAGATCCTTTCAGTCAAGATGGACACTCATTGCAAGAAATTATGATATATCGGAAATGCTAAGGAAAAGGTAAGGTAGAAAGAGTTGTGGTTCTTGGCTACTTACACAGGCTGCTGATTGCCAGGGAATTCATTTTCAAATTGGGGGTTTTACATGAAACACTCTCCTGAGATTAGGTTAATTGAGCACCAGAGGATTTTAGAATTTAAAGTTCCCTGTGAATGGATAGTTATTCCCAGTAAAATGAAGCAGGCAACCATACTGCACATGCTGTGCATGAGGATTGATTCAAGGACAAATGTGATATATACAGAAGGATACAAAGCATTTAAGGAAGAATACTAGATGTTTTCATAAACCATTTTGGGTTGATTATCATTCATCAGAAACAATACCTAGACTGTTTTGGTTCCAAGTTTTAGGTAAAGCAACATCCCAAAATCCAAGTAAATTTGGATTTATTTTACACAACTAGTCAGGCACAGATGATGTGCAACAAATCCTTCCTTACTCTTTCTTCTCAGGAGATTCCACTAGAGCACATCATTTCCCTCAATGTTTCAAGGGCTTTTCCTTCTTTCCCTGCAGCCCCATTGATAGCCCAGAATGGCATATCCCACTGGCTCAGTGGCTGTCTGATCTTTTCAAATCATTTCCTTCCCTCCAACCACTCAGCTGCAACTACAGCTGACGTAATAGCCTATGTTACTGTGATTGACTCAATAGTTCCTTCAAATATGGACTCTCTGATTTTGAGGCTAAAGAGCAGAACTAGGCAGACTCTCAAACCTGGGGTTTCAGAGTCAGCAGCTGTCAGCCACCTAAGAATGACTTAGATCCAGCACAGAGAACTGCCGATTCAGAGAACAATTGTTTGATCCTGAATTTGGGAGACTGCCAATCACTGAAATAACCCTTAGCTAAACAGGGCTGAGCAATGAAGATCAGCAAATTTCCTTAAGGAAAAAAAAAGGATATCAATTCCTCTATTCAAGCAAGGTCACAAACTTTAAGAACATCCCCAGAGGCTCCCATCTATTTTTGTTTTCCTGGCCTCCCATTTTTGGTTTTAATATTCCTAACTCCTTACAATGCAAACAGATCCTGCCTTACCATACTTGGAGTGGATACTGCAGATTGCAACAATTCAAAGTACTGGGCTGTAGAAAAAGATCTGCTCACAGCTACGAGTCACAGACAAACGATACTTTCTCTAATTTACAGCCTGCAGCTATAGCATTATCTGTCAATCTATGAACAAGTTTATAAAACATGTGAAAATGGTGTCTCCTACTTGTTGCAACTCAGACTAAGTCAGATCTCAAGGTGGCATATCCGACTGGCTCACTCATTCTTGATTTTTGCGCTGTCCTTCCTTTCCTCAGAGATCATTGTAGATGTTCTTGGCTTTTCCCTATTCTAATCCCCCCTTCAAACCACATCTTCTCATTCTATCTTTTTTGTCTGTATCTTGACCATATGAATGTTTTGTTTTGGTCATGGACCAGGGGTGAAATCCAAATTTTTTCCCTACCGGGTCTGTGGGCGTGGCTTGGTGGGCGTGGCAGGGGAAGGATATTGCAAAATCTCCATTCCCACCCCACTCCAGGGGAAGGATACTGCAAAATTTCCATTCTCTCCCCTCCTGGGGGAAGGATATTGCAAAATCTCCATTCCCACCCCACTCTGGGGCCAGCCAGAGGTGGTATTTGCCGGTTCTCCGAACTACTCAAAATTTCCAC